CCTCCCTGGGCTGGCCAGCCTCCCAGAGCTGGTGCTGTTCCGGGCACCATGGGGCAGGGGGTGGGCAGTGGCTTACGGCCTTGACCTGGCAAATGCACAGACATGGGCTCGGTCCCAGCCCCACCACTGCTGGCTGTGTGACTGCCCTCTCGGAGCATTTGCTCCCCTCATCTGTAGGGAGGGTTCTCGTGGCCTCTGCCTGTGGATGCTGGGGGACACCCCGCAGAGACCCCCCAGCGCCCCATCTCGCCTCAGGGACGCGGACTGCCTAGACAGGCCAGGCCCAGCGTAGGCGCTGTCACTGTGAGCGAGAAAGGGGGTCTGCTAACGGAGCACGTTCCCCGCTGAGCCCGGCTGTACATGGCTCCTCTTCACAGGAAAACCATGTGAGCCGCCGAGAAACGTGCTTCTCAGTAAGTCAGGGAGGGCCGGGGGCCGACGGAAACATCTGGCCGGTGAACTAACGGCTCCGAGAAAGGGAGCCTCGCCTGGCGGGGCGGGAGACGCGATCCGCTGCTGGTTCTAATTTAGGATGAAAAAAGCCGAGTCTCTTGGCCTCAATATTGCTCTTATGTCCAGTTGCGCGGAGTTTGGAATAATATTTTTCAAGCAGAACTACTGCTATTTCGGTAATTGCGATGCTAAAAGCAGCCATTTGGGGTGGAGCGAGGATCTCACCGCGGTCTGAGTCCCGCTGGTGTCACTTTCTGTTACGTTTGAGAAATTCCTCAATAAAGATGTCAAACAGAGAGAGGGTTTTGTTCCCCAGGGGACAGACTTGGCCACCCTCCAGGGCACGGTCCCAGGCAAGCCATCTCCACGAGAAAACAACCCCTCCGCTCCAAAGGGAAGAGGAGGTTCATCTGTGAAAGCTCTGGCAAGAAAACAGCCCCGGCCGCCGGCCTCGCTTCTCCTAATTAACTCGGAATGCTTCGCAGCCTCCCGGCCAGGGTTCACCGGCCTCGGGCTCAGGAATCCGGCGCTGGTCGGGAGGAATGTTACACCCAGACAGGCTCTTGACCCAGACTTCTGGGCACAGAACAGGAGATGCAGAGCCGCCCGGCTGGCCCGATGGGGGAGGGCTTGTGAAGGGGGCCGGGGGACTGGCCAGAGACGGTCAGGCTGCACAGGGCAGCCAGAACTTCCCAACATGCGGCCTCTCGCAACCCCCAACACCCACCGGGGTCCCCCCTCTGCCCGTCCTATGGCTGCCGCTCTCCCCGTGGAGTCAGAAGTCCCCAGAGGGCCATGTGCACCTGGAACCCCTACCTGCCCTTCCAGACCACAGTCTGGGTCCCCGAGACCCTACAGCCCCCTGTCCGAATGGCCCTGCCTGTCTCTCTGAGGGACAGATGACACTTAGGACCACGCAGTAGCAAAAGGGAGGGGTGGGCTGGGGGCCAGGAGCCAGAGTTTGGCTCAGACAGTGTGTGCCAGGCCCCCGGGGGTGGGAGAAAGCCAGGGGCTCGGAGGGGGGCTCGGAGCAGGGCCGGCACACCTCCACTTTCTGGCACGAACTCCAAGGAGACCTGAACTCTCCATTCCAGTCCAGCCTCCCCAGGCACGAGGTAGGAATACTTGTCAAGGGTGAACAGACTGAACACGTTCTGGTTCTGAAGCCTCGTAATGACTTTTACATATTTAGCCGCACGGGACACGGGCCTCCATTGTGTTCCTGCCAAGCCCCGTAAGCGCGGGGCTGGGGGCTGGCCAAGCAGGAAGCACGCTGGAACACCGGGTTTATGTTATAGCCTCGGTGTTCTCAGGCTGGCAAACCCTCCCCTGATGGTGACGATGATGAATGCTGTGGGGACAGAGCCGGGGCAGGCGGCTGAGGGCTGTGGCTGCCGGCCTGCGCCCTTGGCACCGAAAGGACACCACCCAGCGCCGGGGCGGCCCTCCCCGTCGCACACAGCCACAGCCACCCCCAAGGTCACTCAGTGGCCTCAGACACAGGCACTCCCGACCCTCGGAGGGTGTGACTACCGGTCCTAAACCACGAGCTTGCGTGGGGGTGCGGGGTGCGAGGCGACACCCTCACGCTGCAAGCCCACTCCTTACCGAGCCTCACGGCCCCGACGCTGACCCCACACCTCACTGCGCTTCACGGACCGGGCGCTCAGGCTCCGAGAGGGCCTGTGGCCAGCGCGGTTCGGGGCTGCTGGTACCAAGATCCGACTCCTCCAGAGTGGGGCTGTGTCTTGAGAAGGAAAAAGCCCGAAGGACCGTTGGGAAGGGCCTGCCCTCGGCTGAAAGCAGAGGGGAGAGAGCCTTCTTCACTGCCCTGTGTGCACGGGCCTGCCTCAGCCAGGAGCCCAGGCGCGGCCCCGCGCTCTGCACAGTGAGGGCGCTGCGGCCAGAGGCCCGGGGCGCAGGCAAGGCCTGGGCTGTGGGTGGCGGGCTGGAGCCCCACCGGGCCTGACGGCAGGAGACGGCCCACCTCGTTCACCTCCCCGAGGGCCAGCGCGCCAGGTGCGCTCTGCTAGGTGCTCCACAGCCACGATCGCATTCCATCCGCGGAGGACCCTGACCCCGGGACTCCGAATCCCACTTCACAGGGGAAACTGAGGCACGGGGGAACGTGACTGGCCAAAGGTCACATGGCTGAGAGCCTGGCAGGGCCGGACTGGAGCCCAGAACTGACAGCTCCCGAGCTCCGTCCTGACCACCGGAGGGGTGGGGGGTGGGGGGTGTGTCCCACCCACTGCACAGCCCTGCCGGCTCCGCCTTCGCAGGCTAATCAGCTACGGAAACGTGCTCTGTCCGTCCCCTGAGAAAGGGCAGGCTGGTAGAGCGAAGGCTCATGCACTGGGGGCTCAGTAGACAGCATTTGGACGGTGATTAACTCGGCATCTGGCACAGTAAATGCTGTGCAGCCCGCTCTTTACAATCTAATCAGAGGCTCTGCACTTCCGCAGCCCACCTCCCCTGGCTCCTGCCACCCACCCTGAGCCTGGCCTCAGAGCCACCCACCGCTTGCCAACGGGCTGTGCCCTTGGCCCCGCAAGCTGCTCCCCACCTCTGGAGACCCTGCTCCATGCAGCCTCCTCTGTAAAGCCCCCGCCCTCCCCAAGGGGTCTGCCCTCCCTCCAGTTGGGGCGGGGACCAGGCCCCCAGGGGAAGGGCAGTTGGGGGGGACCCTTACTACCTCACCAGCACCTTTGCAGGGGTAGTCTCCTCAGGCTCCTCTGGGCTTCAGCACCTGCTGTGCAGACGCCCGTTTCCGAGCTCACCGTGGGTGCAATTACCTGTCACAGACCTCTTTCCCATAACAGGCCCATCCGAGAGCCAACGGGCACTAAACAGAAACAGGCCGGGCATCTCAGGTGGACACACCGCGAAGAGGAAAGGTCCAGAGCATGTGGGACTGCGCGGCCCCTGTGCCACCCACCAGCACTCCAGCTGGCACGGGGGCAGGGGTGCCGAGTGCTTCAGGAAGCGCTGCAGCGAAAGCCATAAAGAACCCCAATACCCCTCGGACCCGGCAGTTCCACCTCTGGGAAGAACTGCCGAGGCCACAATTAGGAAAACGAGACGGGAAGGTTTGTGCCCAGAATCACTGCTCGATTCTCGTGGCTAAAAGCAAACAAGCAAGATAAGCACAGCCTAATCGTCCAACCACAAAGGCTGGCTGGTCACCGAGAGCAGCGGCTGCCAAGCGGGGGTCCGGACTACTGGTGGTCCCTGAGGTCCGAAAGGTTGGCGAGCGCTGACCCAGAGTAATGCCTGTCTGTTGACTATTTGCACCTTCTGAGTGCCGGCCACCGCACCCTCACAGCGGGCCTGCCCCGTTCACAGCGGGGACTCTCGGGCTCAGAGGCCGGCATGACAGGAACACCCGCTGAGTGGCACGCACGCTTCTCAGCGGCCCAACGTGATCTGTTCCTGCTCACCGCAGCTGCAGGTGGCTGCTCTCCACACCCTCCCTCCGCCAGCGAGGGACTGAGCCAGGGACATCAGTCACTACTCGCAGCCACACTCCTGCCCAGTCCATGGCTCTACCCCCGGGCTCCCGCCCTCCGGCCCAGGTCACTCAGCAGCCAGGTGCTTAGGGGACAGTGTGATCTGCAAGCGAAGGAACGCCGGAGGCTGCTAGAAGCTGGAGAGGAGCCCGAACAGATTCTCCCTGGAAGCCCTGGGAGGAACCAACCCCCTGAACCTTCTCCTCAGCAACCTCCGGCTTAACAGACGAGGAGGCCGCTGGGAAAATGGCAGTAACAGGGCGGCCAGGTCAACATACCTGCGTGAGGCTCATGTGATGTTCAAGGGAGAATTAAGGGACAAAGACCATGCTGACCACCGATTACTACGGTGAAATCACACCTGGGAGCAGGGAGGAGCCTGAGGGGAAACACACCAGTGTAACTGAGACGCGTCCTAATTTTTTTTTGTTCCTGTTCTCCATGTTTCCCATTTTATCCAGCAAGCTTCCATTATTCTGATAAACGTTACAAACTGGCTTACAATGTCCACTCGAACCAGGAGACTCGAGTACAGCAGAATCCTCGTTATGGGGTCAACTGTTCTCCCCCAGACCTCCAGTACCTCTTCTGTTGAAGCCCTGATCTCCAGCACCTCAGCATGTGACTGCGTTTAAGACACGGCCTTCTCAGGGGGGATTAAATTGGAAATTGGTTGGGATGGGCCCTGCTCCAGTGAAGACTGGAGTCCTCTAGGAAGAGGAGATTCGAACACACAGAGAAAGACATCAAGTACACGGATGCACGAATGACCATGTGAACACCGGGCAGGGAGGTGGCCGTCTGCAAGCTGAGCTGAGAGGCCTCAGAAAAAAGCAAAAGAGCCAAACCTCGACTTTGGACGTCCAGCCTCCAGAACGGCGAGAAAAGAAATTCCCGCCGCGTAAGCTCCCCAATGTGTGCCACGTTATCACGGCAGCTCCGGTAAATCTAACATAAAGGACCGAAGGAGAGCCAGCTCTCCCCTGGTGCCCCACACGGCAGGTGTGCCCGGCGGGCAGGGCACAGCCCGGCACTCACCCAGGCAGTTGTGTCCGTCATGTGCCAGCGTGAAGCCGTCGAAGCAGGTGCACCGGTAGTTCCCCGGGATGTTGATGCAGTCGTGGACGCAGCCCCCGTTGTAGGCGTCGATCTCACACTCGTCGATGTCTGCAAAACGAGGGCATGAGAGGGGTCAGAGGAAGAGCCTGGGTCTCCCCCCCTCCACTGCCGAAGGCACCTGGGCATGACTAGCTAGGGCAGTGGTTCTCAACCTTCCTAATGCCGAGACCCTTTAATACAGCTCCTCATGTTGTGGTGACCCCCGACCATAACGTTATTTTCGTTGCCGCTTCATAGCTGTAATGTTGCTACTGTTATGGATCATAACATAAATATTTGTGTTTTCCGATGGTCTTAGGCGACCCACAGGTTGAGAGCCACTGCTGTAGAGCCTAAACCCATTGGAAAACATAGATATTTACGTTACGATTCATAACAGTAGTGAAATGACAGTTATGAAGCGGCAACGAAAATAATGTTATGGTTGGGGGTCACCACTACATGAGGAGCTGGATTAAAGGGTCGCGGCATTAGAAAGGTTGAGAACCACGGAGCTAGGGGATGACTCAACAGTAATTCATCAGAACTCTTGCAGGGGGCTGGGACCCAGAGATCACTAAGGTGAAGATCCTGGCTCTGTACCGAGGCTGGCCACACCTTGCAGAGCTGGGCCGTGTGCCAGACCTTCCGGCTCCCACCACACGGCAGCTGGCAAGTCACCCCCAGCTCCACCTCCTTCAAAAGCCTCAACACTAACAGCCTGTGGGGACCCTGTGTGGACCCTGTGTCACCTCCAAACGGGATCTCTTCGCCCCTTTGAAGGCCTCCACAGATGGAGCGCTCATGACTCATGCAGCAGGGGCATTAGATGAAAGGAACTTTGCATCCCGCCAGAACGTGTAACCTTGGGCGGAGTGACCGCAAGCCCGCACACTCCCTCCAAATAGTTTCCTTTCCCGTCAGCATCGGAATTCCGAATTCCTACCGCCCCAGTCCTTGTTCTAACAAAGGCTCTGTCTGAGAAACAAAGGCCAATAGCCTTTGGAAGGGTCGCCCTTTTTGCTATTTTGTCTTTTTTTTATTTTTAACATTTCCCGTCAGGGTCCAAGGGGCTATCAGTTCTGGCCCTCCAGAGAGACTGGGGAGACTCGGAGAGTGACAGGAGTGCCCGGTCACCATACAGCGAGCGGACAACGCCATAAGGCCCGGTCTCCTTCAGGCCCACGCGGACTCGGTGGCGCAGGCGCTCTCACCACTATTCCAACTGCGCAGGGCAGCGGGGAAACGGAGGCACGGGAGGCTAACAGCCCGCCAAAGGTCACCGCCTTTCAAAGCAGTACCCGCGGGGTTCCAACCAGTGTGGCCCGGCCCGGAGCCCAGGCGGCCAAAATGGCCGCGTCTCAACCGCCACGGGGAACCCGGAAACCAGAGGAGCGGGGATGGGGAAGGCGGAAGTGCCCTCACAGCGGAATCGGAAATGCGACACAGCAGGACGGAAGTGCCCGCTAAGCAGGACCGGAAGTGCCCCAGCTAAGCAGGACCGGAAGTGCCCCAGCTAAGCAGGACCGGAAGTGCCCCTCTAAGCACGGCCGGAAGTACCCAGCTAAGCAGGACCGGAAGTGCCCCTCTAAGCAGGACCGGAAGTGCCCCTCTAAGCAGGACCGGAAGTGCCTCGGGAGAGGCTACTGCCTGGGAAGAACGGTCCGTCTCCTATGCAGTTGAAGAGGGGTCTTTGAGGTGGGTTCAGCTATGGAAGCTGGGGTGGGGCCAGCCTGGGGAAGAGAGGGGACTAAGTAAATGCAAGCCTCGCCGCTCCTTCACATGCCTGAGGAGCTGGCGCAGAGAGACACCAGGCTCCACGCCGTCCACATTGGTCCACCCAGTAAGGGTAGGCCAGGGGTCAATTCGCGTTCACAGGGAGGCAGGCCCTTCTGGACGGTAGAGGCTGTCTCAGGCGGGAGTGAGCTCTCTGATGGTGACCAGGACCTGTCACCAGCACCCCTGCCAGCCAGGAGCACCTGCGGGGCTCACTTCAGTGAAGACAGCCTGAAAGGCCTGCCTCCGGGCCTGGGCTGTGGGCCCGCTCCCGTGCCGGCCCGCACAGCCGCCGGGAGGGCGGACAGGCTAGCCTGGGCTTTCCTAACCTGTCTGCAGTGGCCACAGCATCCGCTGGGAAGCAGACTCAGTTCTGCAAGTCATTTGAATTGTTCTTAATCATATGTTTAATGCACTTAGACATTTTAAGTAACATTAAAGGAGGATACAAGGTTTTATGTTGGAAAAGACTGGGTTTATAAAGACTGAGATATTAATTATCCCCTGGTCTCTGCAGCCTTGACCTTCACCGGGTGGGTTTCACCCAGGTCCACCGACCACTTCTCCCCGTGGACCTCCCACAGACACTCCACAGGCAGTGCGGCCGCCTTGAGCCCATCAGCTGGCACTTTCTGGGATACCCATCCAGTGACTGTCCTTCCGCCTCTGTGGACATCCAATCAACTGCCAAAGCATGGCTTTCCTGCACCATCAACATGGGTACCGCCTGCCCACGGTCACCCATTTCCACTGCCATCGGATCAGAACCAGCAGCCCCCTCCTTTCCTTCATTCCAGAAGGTGACTCTGCAGAAGGGGGCTGGTCCCAGCTCTGAGAGTGGGATTTCCTGGTGGCTTAGGTTGGATGCGTCAGGCTGAGGGAAAGGACCTGTATTTCGCACTTGGGTCAAAGAATTCGTGTTCCTGCTTCCCTCCCTTCCTCCGTCGTTGTATCTCAGAAGGAAGTGTGCAGGCATCGACTCCTGGAACATGCCAGCCCGTTCAGCAGCTCTGGAGTAGGCATCTTAGCTCCATACTACGGCTCAGACTGAAGTGCACAGAGGTTAGGTAATCGCTTCAGGTCACCAGTCAGTCAGTGGAAGGAGAAAGGTCAGAACAAAGGCCTTCTGTCTACAAAGCCTGCGTCCTTCCTAATAAGTCAGAGTGCCCATGGAATGCCAGGCTTTGGCAAAGTCCTTTGTTTGGTCCTTGGCACATGTACACTGTGTACCAAGAAAATATTATCCAGTCATCCAAACACCCACTCGTCCACACAAACACACCTCTCCGTCTCTTACCCAAATGGCCAGCCCTGTCCTCCCATCCATTATCCATCCATATAATCACTGTATTGGCTACCCATTCAAGTAGCCACCCAACCATCCTTCCATTTGTCTATTCATGCAGAATTTATCCATCTAAATATCCAGTCAGCTGACCATCCTCCTATTCATCCAATCACCTATTATTCACCCATTTGTTTATCCAGGAGAGGAGGAAGTAATAGAGGGGGGCAGAGCCAAGCTCTCTAGGTGTTAGTTCTTTTTAAAAAAATCCTCACCTGAGGATACTTTTCCATTGACTTTTAGGGAGAGTGGAAACGGGGGGAGGGAGAGAAAGAAACATCATGTGAGAGAGACACATGGATTGGGGTTGGAGCCTGCTTCCGAGGTACAGGCCTTTGACTGGGAATTGAACCCAGCACCCAGCATCAGTCTGAGGGCCAATGCTCTAACCACTGAGCAACCAGCTAGGGCTGGATGTTTCTTCTTAACGAACTGTTGTGGGTTGAACTGTGTCACCCCGAAAAAAAGATGTGCTGATGTCCTGACCTCTGCTATCAGTGAGTGCGACCTGACTTGGGAATAGAGTCTTTGTGGGTGTAATTAAGAGGAGATTATATTGGAGTTGGGTGGGCCCTAATCCGATGACTGGTGTCCTTGTAAGAGGAGGGAAACGGGTACAGACACAGAGAGGATGTTGGGACAGAGGAGAACATCATAGGGAAGCTGAGGCAGGGGCGGAGTGGGGAAGCTGCTGGGAAGCAGGTGTGAGCGCTGCCCCGTTGACGACGCAGAGACCAGGGCATAGCGTGGCCGAGCCCGTCCCCAGCCCGGAGCCGGCGGCCGTGCTCCAGGGCGGGTGCTGTGCTTGTCAGAGCCGCGTCCTCGGGGTGCAGGAAGGCAAACCTTTAAAAACACTCCAGGCTCCAAAGAGGCACTAAGGTGGGAGGCGATGTCCGTCCTTGTCCTCGAGGGTGAGGGCTGGTGGCAGGGATGGTCCTACAAGCGGGAAGGCGGGGAGGACAAACCATCTGAATCTGACCTGTGCTGAGGGCGGGAGTCCAGGCCTCCCTGCCCTCTCTCCGGCTGGGATTTTTTATTAAATGAAAATGCAGTTCCCAACAGAAAACCCTCCCGGCATCAGGCAGAGCAGAGGAAGGCAGCAGGGGAGCCGCGTGGGAATTCAGGCCCCAGGGCCCCCGTCTCCTGTGCTGGACCCGCAGCCGCACCAGCTCGCAGCCGCGTCCTGTGCCGGCCTCTCACGGAGGCACGTTCGGATTTTTCCATTTAATTCAAAATCACCTCTCACTTCCCCCATGGGACAGCTGCTACTCCGTGTGCGGAGGTTCTAGAAAGATTGCACCGCAGTGAGTCAGAGCACCCTCTCCTTTGACTTTAATGCTATTCCAGGGAATCCGCCTGGGGATCTTCTCGGAAGAAGGGTTTTTTAAAGACTGAAGTCTACGTGGTGTCCCATCTTGAGTCAGCTTCAGGCGTGTGGTGAGGGACTCACTGCTCACAGGCGTTACAGTGCGAAAAGGAGGTTAGGGCCCCGGGCCCCGCCCTCCCCTCTCCGGTCAGGACCGCAAACGTCTCCTTTCCCCTCGGAACCGGCGTTTCCCTCCCATCGCTCCCAGACGGTGGACCCAGTGCTCTGACAAAGACGCCCTTGCCGCCGGGCAGCCGTCTCGGCCTTTGTCCGGGCCCGGGAGAACCGGGCTCCGCGGTCAGGCCCTCGGAGAGGCTGGCGGAGGGAGGAAGCAGAGTCCTCGGTGAATGATGCTAATCGGGTTGCGGCTGATGGTGCTTGCGGGAAGGGAGTCTGCAGAGCCGCCGGCAGGAAGGATTAGGCCTCCCCCTCGGCTCCGGGTTAAGCACCGGCTGTAATGACTGAGTAATGAGCCCCGCTCTCTGCAGAGCCCGGGCCTCCATCGATCAGGCTCCTTCTGCCCAGACAGTGTCAGAAGTGGGCCCAGCAGTTAATTGTGGGAAAGGTCAAAGGTCACGCAGA